TTTTTTTTTCTCCGCACCAAAGACTAAGCCAACGCTACAGAAAAAGTGAGGTGGTCAGGACGACCCAAAGTCTATGGTGGGTATGAACTATGTGAATAGGCGGGTTCTTAGAACCTTCTGCCTACAAATTTACTATGTGAATAGGCGGGTTCTTAGACTATGGTCAGTCAAAATGACTATTTTGAACTGTAGGCAGAGTCAGAAGCTGATAGGTGGCGGATTTTCGAGCGAACCGAAAATGATAAAAAAGGTGTCCCAGACCAGGATATACCGTCTACCTATGACCACCTAGTTGCGACCAGTGAAGAAACGGTGTCCTACCTTGCCAGTGCCATCCCCGGAACAAAGCCAAGCACTGGACGATGACAGGGTTTGGTAAGCCCGAGAACGCTAAACCCAAATTCTTGGGTAGGTAGTCTTCAATAGAAAAGATTGAAAACAGTCCTGCATGAGAGCATAGTTCGAAAGCGAGACCTGGAAGGTTCCAAGGAGCGCTTGTGGAAGAAACTTCTTCTATGAGCAGGGATCCCTGAGGTAGTCCGGGCTGGGTCAGTAACCAAAGTTTGACCCACTAGGACAGGACCCTCCATAAAAAGACCGTCAATGGATTTGGTATCTCTTGGGTAGAAGTGGTAAAGACGTTTGCATTCTCTAGAAGCCTGTCCTCTGCACATGCTCGAGGGGGGTACTGACGCAAGAACTAATGAGTTAGCGATCGCACTGAACTCATGCGCTCGTACTTGGTGGATCTGTAAACCCTGTGTCGAGGAAGCCAAACGGTTAAAACCGCGAACCTGGTCGCAGTGATCCACCTGGCAATGGAAGACAGGAAGGCTGGTCTGTCCTTCTTACCCTGGCCATAACACATAAACCTGTGCTTGCCATGCCTCGACACCTTAGTACGGCTCTCGTAGCAACTCCTCCTGATCCTCCGGGTTGGCAATGTTGCCAGCTGGGGATGACGATCGGTTGTGGATCACATCCTAAGATTCGATTCATGGCAAGAAACCCGATTCGTGTCTTCAGCGATTGTCCATACAGACGGTACACCTGTCTGAGAAGGACTGGGCCCCTAGTTCAGCCTGACGCCTACCTGAGGCTAGGGGGAGTAGGAAGACTGTTTTCTATGTCAAAAGTTTGAGTGGTACTGATCGAGGAGGCTCAAAGGGCAGTCTGCTTAGGTTCAATTGGATGGTTCCCTCATTTGCGGTCTAGGCCCCTGATCAAACAGTAAACAGTCTCCTAATGGTAGAACAACTGGCTAGCCTCATCCCCAATGGTGGATAACAAGGCTGACCTATAGCCAACAATCGCTGAAAGGACATTTCATCCAAACGATGGACGAGAAGTCAGCTGCCTGGTCAACAGAGGGATGGCCGGGTCTCCCATCCACTACACCAATCAGTAAACGCACATCATTTCGAGGCATAGGCTGTGTTGGTGGGATCCCTATTCACCCTGGCCAGGACGTTGGCAGCCCTCTCAGCCTTGATGCGGGTACACTGCCGAGTTCAAAGGCAGTGCCTTGTTCGGAAGCACCCCTGCAGATGTGCTCCTGTCGAAGTTTCTCCAGTACCCGGTGAATAGGGGGAAGGGAAGAAAGGTGTACACGTCCATGTGGGTCCATGGGGTCGACATAGTGTCCCTGGAGTCGGCAGGAGTGTCATGTTCCGGGGTGTGGTGAATAGGTTTAACCTTGGACCGTCCCACCACCGAAACAGTCTGGAGGCTACCCATTGGGGTATCTGCCACTCTGCTTTCTGGAGAGGGAGCCGCCACGAGAGGGCGTCCACTTGACTGTTTCTTGATCCTGGAAGGTGGTGTGCGGCTAGCTCCACATGTATTCCAGTTACCAAAAGAGAATTTGTTTCGCTAGGACTGACAAGGATAGAGATCTGGTCCCGCTCCTTGTCGCTATAGAAGATCACCACTGTGTTGTCCTCTGTGGTCTCGAACTTTGGGTAGAAAGTGAATTAGTGCTAAACGCACTTCTTTCAGTTCGAGCCAGTTGATATGGCAGCCATATTTCCTATTGGGCTTGTTCGTTCAATAGGTGCACTCCCCAACATGTGAGGGAGGCATCTGTTTCTAGAGTCATAGCCCCTGCTAGAGGTTGGCAATTGCTGTACACCAGAGCGAGACATCCCTCGCTTGGTCCGAGAGTGTTACTCTCTTCTCAAGTACCTGTAAGAGAGCCCGGTGTTTCAACAAAGTATGCTGTAGCGGGAGGCTGCGTAACGCGGCCTGGGGGAACTACCCTGTGAACCGCAGGCATCATTCTGATGATGTGCATCAGTTCTCGGAGGGACACAGAGGGAACACTGACTAGGCGTTCGGTTAGGTCAGTTAGACAGTGGGCCTGCGGTGACTGTACCAAGCCCACCTGCATGTCGAACTCCCTTCCCAGGAACACCAACTGTTGTGTTGGCTGAGGATGGGACTTGCTCGATTTACTAGAAAGCACAACTGGTCTAGAAAGGTGTTAGCCTTACTGTTTGACTAACTCTTGTTGGGTTATGTAGCAACAAGCAAGTAGTAGTAGCACCACCTGTTTTCAAAATCTGGTAAATACGTATGGAGCCATGCAAGCATACCATCCATTTCCTGTCGGATTGCTCCAACTTTGCGGGGGTTCCCTGGTAGTGCCCCAAATGGGGGCTCGTGTCAGGGGGTTGGAGATTGCAGTGGGATCTCGTAACCGTGCAAGGCCGCCTGGAGAGTCCAGGGATCAGTTACGTGCTGCCTCCGAACCGGAATACATTGGCGCAATCAGTGCAACAGAGATGTGTGGGTTCGGTGGTTCTACATCAGGGGTGATCACTTCTCGCCGAGGTGAGACCCCGTGAGGCCTGTAGAAGTCAGTAGGTGCCTCCCGCCAGACATTTGCCCATTCCCCTTGTCGCAAGCAAATACATCAAACA